ACGGCTGCGGGATGGCGGCACCGCCCCGCCTGCCAGCGTCACGTGCCGGGCGGGCAGCGTGAGGGCGAGGCGCAACGCCCGGCTTCCCGTCCCTCCCTGCGCATGCGCCGCTCCTCCCTTTATTTCGCCGCGGCGGGGCGCTGCTCGGCCTTTTCTCCGCCCGCGCACCTTCCTTCGGCGGCGGCCTGAGGGGAGGCGTGGTAGCTCCGCTTCCCGTGCCGAAGGCGCTCGGCTTTTTCCGATGTTGCTCGGCGCCTCCCCGCCGCGCTCGCGGCGGAAGATGGCGGCCGGGATTGGCGGGGCGGCGGCGGCAGTTATGCAAACGATGCCGTCGGCAGGCAGCGCCAGAGCCGGCTGAGCGGGGAGGCGACTGGGGCTGCGCCGCCGCCCGCCCTCCGCCTCCCTCTCCTCCTCCTCCTCCTCCTTCTCCCCGGCCCCCGCCTCGCCCCGGCCCGGCATGGACGTTGGCGCTGCGCGGTGCCGCTGAGCGGGGCCGCCCGGCGCAGACGGGGGGGGTGGGAAAAGATGTCGGACACCAAGGTGAAAGTGGCCGTCAGGGTCCGGCCCATGAACAGGAGAGGTAAGCGGGGACCCGAGCGGGTGCGGGGAGAGGGGAGCCAGCCCGCCCGCCGGCTGCAGCCCCGTGCCGCCTCTCCTTGCAGAGCTGGAGCTGAACACCAAGTGCGTGGTGGAGATGGAGGGCAACCAGACCGTGCTGCACCCGCCGCCTTCCAACAGCAAGCAGGGCGAAAGGTAAACCCCACCGCCGGGGGGGTTGGGGAAGGCGGCGGGCAGCGCGGTGTCCGGGAGGGGAGCGGCGACGGGAGCGGGCGGTGAGGAGATGGGCTGGGAAACAGCCTGCGAGAACGAGAGAAAATAATCCCGAAATCTGGCGTGTGTAGTCGTGATGCCCCGCTAAAGAATACCCCTGGAAGCAATCCAGAAATACCAATGCACCAGACTGTAAAAATAGATCGGAACAGGAAAAGATTTCTTTCCTTTGAGGGAGCGTGGGGAGGTGCGGCGGAGCGGTGCTGGTGTGCGCTTATCTCTTGGGTTACCTGTTGACAACCCTGCTTGGTTGAGCTGTTAAATATTTGTGATGCCGTGGAGCGTGGGTTCGTTTTCATGGCTGTAGAGGTGTGTGTTCGTCTGAACAAATCCTTCCTGTTCGAGATTTCATTAAGAATATATTTGAGTTTGGAATAGCTATGAAGAAACTAGTATGAGTCTATATATATACATATATTTTTTTTTTTGTTCGTTCAAAGGCAATGTTTCAGTAGTTTTCCAGCAGAAAAGATCTTGGGCAACAAAGAACTTGAAGGTCCAGATATGAAGGCCCCCCTCACATGAATCTGAATACAGGAATATAGCTGTGCTCGTGCCGGTTCAACTGAAATCCAATTGGTGTAGTTCTTAGGATCATCGTTATAGCTAATGTGTTGGTCTTGAAAGAGCTGTGCTTGTTTCCCAGCTCTTTTCAAAGATCTTTGTGTGATCCCCACAAAATGGGGATCTTGGATTTCTTGAGACTGTTTTGGAAGGTGTGTTTTTGTAATTGATTATTGAGCTGTGTGCGTGTTGTCTGTCACAACACTGCTACAGTCAAATCCAATCCACTCACTTTAAAGAGCTAATACTATTCTTACAGGTATAAAGCATGAAATACA